AGGAAATATGAAAAATAAGTGATGTCTTCGCTGGGATTCGAACCTGGTCCTCTCGAATACGCGCCGAGTGTGCTATAGTTACACCACGAAGGCATGCTGGATGGAGGGAGAAAAAAACCTTATAATATCATTTTATTGGAATGTGCGAGCCGACCTAAGATTACCTTAATCTTATTAAGATTAACTTAATCTGATTTAAGATTAACTTAAAAAATATGATAATTTAAAATTTAGTTATGTGTTACAGCTTCAAATTTGAAGTCATAATTTTTTTGTATGCTTACTTTCCCGTAACAACCTGCTGTGTTAACAATATCACAACATTTTGCAATAGCCTTGAATTGGATTGCATGATTAATGCTAAGACTTTAATACTCTGTTATATTGCAACAGAAAAGCCTAGGAATTATTCATTAGATGCAAGAATATTTGGAGTAATGGGTTAAAGTACTGCATTTATGCAGGTTATTCGCGATCGAAAGTAGAAAAATAACACCTTTTAATTGCCGTACATATTTAAAAGACGCTATAAAACTTACAAAATTTCATTTCAGACTATGTTAAAAATGTACATTTCAGTGAAAAATCAATTATCTATTATTTTTAGATAGTATTTTTATTATCTGTTTGCTACTGAGATAGTTTGATGAAAAGGATGAATTCACCAAAAGAAGTGTGAAAAATCAGTTTCCAATTATAATCTTATTTTTGTTCTATAGAATGCACTTACTAAAAATAGAAATTTTCTTTCGACTACCCATTTGGTAGAAAAAATTTGTATTATCCTTCACAACAACTGTCTCTAGACTGACGGATAATGCAATATTCACTGTATTTCTCTAACAGAAGGCGAAAATCATAATTCACATAGTAATCATAATTCACAAACTGTAATTCAAAATTCACACACTGTAATGATAATTCACACACTGTAATTCACATGGAATTAACACGTTCGTTACACACCACGGGTTATCTTGTAGATCGAAGTTTATGTTTAGGGCAGCTGCTACGAGTTAATTCGTAGAACGTTTTTGTTTTGCCTACGCCTTATACGCTGAAACTCGTAGTATTTCCAAGTTCTTGATGATATCTGCTTTTGAGGATTAGGGGAAAAAATGGTGCAATTCAAGAAATTTGTTGCAATTAATATAAACGTAATATAAGTGATTATAAAGTAAATAACATAGGAACTGTGAAAATAATCAAGCAATTTATAATAATCTTTCTTATAATAATTGTTGTAAAAATAACCAATTTTTGTTACAAGCAACCGCCAACTACGAATATACTCGTGACGAGTATACTCGTAGTTGCCACTGTAATAAAATATTTTATCGCAGAAATCGTCTGTGATGTAACTCGTATTTGTATATATAAGGAATATCTGCTTTGTTTGCGATTAATTCAGTCACTACTATAGCTATCGTCACCAAACTTTCTACAATTATTTTCTGGGTCCTGCTAAAGATCGACGTCCACTTCCCCCCCACAAAAAAGCATTAAAATCAGAGATATTAATTAAAAACTTTGAAAACGCTAATTTTCGACATCCTTTTCTTGAGTGGCAACAGTCTCGCACGCTGGAGATAAAAATCTGCTTTATTTCGAGAAGTGTTGCCGTTACTCGCTTTCAAATTGTAGAATTTGTTAATAAAAAATTTCTAAGTTTTATAATGGAATAAAAATAGTCAAACATTAAATACATTATTCCCCATTATAAAAATTCTTGAGAAGTTATTTTGATTGTTCTCATCTTCGCACGACTTTAATCAGCCAAGATATTAATTAAAATCTCTGATTTCGCGCTTATTTTTCCAAATGGCAACAGTCTAGCGCGTTGCAGATAAAAATGCTTCATTTAGAAAATTGTTACCACTGCTCGCTTTCAAATCGCAGAGTTTGTTAATCAAAAATTTGTACGTTTTATAATATATATATGTAAAGATTCTACTTTACATATATATATATATATATATTGTGTTTGTGTAATTGTTTGTTCGTATTATTGATATCTGATGAATAATGATCAATTTTTAGTCTACATTTAATGGACTAAAATTGAATATAGGTAAAATATTGGATGGAACTTGAGCTTTTACGACCATTTGATTCGAAAGACGAAAACCATTAAAAACTGCATGCCATTGCCATTGTTGCTGATATAATGAGAGAGAATTAGTTTATTTTGCTATTGAAATTTTTTATGAGAGTTCCATATCGCATCAGGGTAAAAAATGTATGACTATGAATCGTATGTTTTGCATCGTATCATCGATTACAGCGGTATCGTTCCCTCTGTTATTAGCTGCATTACTCTCAAGCTAACTTGACCGACATTGGGTAATTCCGCTAGTAATTAATAAAGCAATTAAAAATTACCTGAATTCAATATCTTTCCCATAAGTACATGTGCTGTATTTGTATTTTTTAATTAATTATTCAAAATTTATTGGCGTGGTGGAACCGTTTTTGAAAATATCGCTCAGTAGCGAAGGTGTTAATATGAAACCTTATTACGAAAAATTTTTAAGTTATGAAACAGTTTATGAAAGTTCATAACACTTATTTTGCTACGTTTAAAGGATAAATATCACTTTTATGTTAATTACATAACCGATCGCATTGATATTCAAGTAAACAAAAGAAAAGAAAGAACATCTTGTTTAATACAAAAGAAATCCCTGATTAATAACCTAGCGGGAAACAGCTAAAGTGACTTATGATAAACTTAATATCTAAGCTGCATCTGCTGAACTAATTAGCATATGAGCTTTTGAAACTGGTTAGGTCAACTTATAACCGCAAGCTATTCTGCCAGCAGAAGGGCTGCAGAGGACGTATTTATCAATAGATCACTTTTTCATTTGTGTTTTGCAAGTATGAGCGTAGGGAAAAAAAAAGTGAGCTCCAGTTTATTTAAAGCAATTACCTAAAGGTGGATTGGTTCTCAGAAATGATCTGGCGAAAACTGCATTGTTTTGTTATTGTTTTTCAATTCTTTATCTTCATTTCAGGTCAGAATAAACACCTTATTAGACAACCCAGCTTACATTAAAATGTATGTTAAATAGCCATTTTCAAGAATCAAATAACATGTTGATTTATCAAGAACGGGTATTTTTTTTTTAAATTTTGATAACTATAATAAAGTTTCTAAGAAGACGAATAATTTTTACAAAAAGATTTCTTGTAATTACGAATAGTATTTATAATGACTATTTAATTTAATCATCATTTGTGATGAAAAAACATCAGTTTTTATTTTACTAACTTCTTGTTTTACTCACCATTTTATTCACTACTCAACTCAATACATCATCATTATTTAGAGTAAAAAATCAGAATGCCTTTTTTAGGGATAGATATTGTCAAATAACATAACGTTATTTAATAACATGTTATTTGATAGATAATCAAATAACATGTTGATTTATCAAGAAAGGGTACTTTTTTATTTAAATTTTGATAACTATAACAAAGTTTCTAAGAGGACGAATAATTTTTATAAAAAGATTTCGTGTAATTACGAATAGTATTTATAATGATTGCTGAATTTAATCATCATTTGTGATGAGAAAACATCATTTTTTATTTTACTCAGTACGCATTTTACTCCGTTCTTGGTTTACTCACTATTTTATTCACTACTCAGTACGTCATTATTTAGAGTTAACAATCAGAATGCTTTACGTTAGGGATAGATATTGTAATAAAATATGATTCTAAGCAATAGACACAATTAAAGTATTATAATTGGGAAGTAATAAGTAGAAAATTTGAGCTGTTTTGAGTAATTTAAAGAAAACATTTGAAGACTGTAAGTTCTTTTCTGAAGACACTGATGTTTTTGTTGTATAAATATATAATGATAGGAATGGACGAAAATAAGAATTTATGATACGCAGTGTTCAGAATACTTTTTCATTGTTGCATTCTGCTGGTTCGTGGGTTTGGAGTAATCGATGAAGACTTAAAACGCTATCGACGAAGACTTAAATCGATGGAGTCACTTGATGAAGACTTAAAACGCAATTTATTCGCCAGTGTAAAGGGCAGTTCCAAAGACACTTTTACAGTCGTCGAAAGACTACGATAAACACGCTAAATAAATCTGCAACACAGCCTTCAGGCTATAACGGTAAAGACAGCTTGACGGCAAAGTACTAAAGTACAGCTGCCGACTGGGTCGATCGCTCTCAAGCTAATCTCTGAACTCAAGTCACTCATATTACTGGATTCAAGACACTGCTTTCTCCGCAGGCAGGATTTAAATAGCTTTATCGTACTTCCGAGAACATTCGAGAGGAAAACCGCTAAGAATGCGTTCTGAAATGTTCTTACTCCGTCTATGGCTTGTCGCCAAATGGGCTATTTCGTGCCAAATCTTGCAACCTTAACGCCGCTTTGCGGGGAAGCTATCTTACCGCAACTGGGCATTTCGCAACAATATTATGAATAAACAACCGCTTTTAAGACGCTAACTATTTTTAACTGTTACAAAGTCAAACAATTAAAATTACTTTGATATACGCTAAAAAATTCCAGAATTCGTTTCAACATAGCAAATCAACAAGTCAATTATCTTTGTAAAAATATTTTAGCTTATTTCGATCATAGCAGTTTCTATTTAACCATGTTCTTGAATAAGGAATGTATGCTTTTCCAGGTTAAAAATTATTTCTTTCTTCCCAGTAGTTCAAGTTTGTGTTAGAAAATTTTAATGACATTTCAATTATTCATTTTGTGAGATCTTTATCTCTGCCTAAATGATGTTCCGTACCTTCAACTGGTTAAAATGTTCTTGAATATTCAACGATTGACGAAAATTTCATTGTTGATAGTTCTACTTAGCTGTAACAACTGAAAATTTGAAATGCAAGTTCTAGATATTTGTGGGAAGATAACCATGCTAATTTTTTAAATATCACATAAATAAGATTTGATCAACTTTTAAAGAAAAGTATTTAAAAAGCAAGCGTGAATAAAAATGGACCTACCTTGCTGTGCGTCATTCTGTGGTAGTAGAGGTTTGAGCTGGCCGTGAATCTTTTACCACAAACATGGCACTGATGTGGTTTTTCGCCGGAATGTATCCTTCTGTGAGTATTTAGAGAACTAGATGTACTAAAACCTTTACCACAAACATCACAAACGTGAGGTTTCTCACCTTAAATGGAAACAACCCTTTTAAGTATCAATAACAATTTTATTGCCAACAATTAAAATAGTAATCAACAGTTTGTCTTATCAACACTGGCAATCTAAAGTAATAATAATTATTCATCAATGCATTATTCTTTGGCTTCTATCTAAATAACTAACATTCCAATTGAAATAGTACTCGTATTTTATATAAATTCTAAATCATCGAAACATTTTTGTACCTGTATAGCAGTAATTGGAAGATTACATAATCATTTAATACTTTTTCAGAACAATATGTATTTATTTATTTTTCTCTTAAAGGATTAAAATGTTCTCCTTCAGGTAGGTATTTTACATTGATTACCAGTGGTAAGAATGACACCTGCTTTACAGTAATTTCTTTCTGCATTCTCTTTTAACCCTTCGGTGGAATTTTTTGTTGTAATCAAAAAATGATGTATTGAATCATTAATAAATTAGATGTACATTTTTGTAATTACCTGTGTGTGTTCTCATATGCCTTCTCAAAAGTGATGGTCTGTCGAAAGCTTTGCCACAAACTTCACAAGGTAGTAATGTCCTTTCTCGACCTTTCTTTACAATAGTTGGACGGATTTCACAGTTTAATGACTAAAGGGAAAAAACAGTATTTTAAAATAAATAAATAATAGTAGCTTTAAATAAAATGAATAAACGCTTATAAACAAAACATTTATTACTAACTCTTAATGACACATTAATCATCAAGAGAAATGAATTATGGGAGGCAAAAGGAATCATTTATGACGCATATGACGTACCGTTAATTAAACAGCTCTATCATTAGAGATGAAAGGATAGGTGTATAAAATAAAGAAGATGTTAACTAAAAGGAAAATAGTATACCCACGCCTAAAGTAAAATAGAGGTTTATGATTTTTAAAATCTTTAAGAACATCTATGTGTAATAAACTTTGTAAATTGTTATGATATTTTGAGCTGTCATACTGCATCTGAAATAACATGTATTGAAATATTCCAAACAATTCTGTAAAATTGTTTTGTTAAAAAAAAAGTACTGGTTTGAGTATTTGATTAGGACTTTTAATGATAAGCCGCTGAATTACAATTTGATGATTTTATCAATCAAAACATAATTTTAATTTTAATTACACTTTTGAAATTAAGTTGTTAAAAACATCTCAATGTAGCATTTAAAATAAAAACAGAATTCTTAAAAATCGAATCAGTTGTAAAAGTGTCTTTAAAGAAGCAAATCGAAATTTTATGCTGTTACAAAATGTTCAGGCGCGAGAAGGTAGCTTCCCCGCAAAGCAGTTTTAGGGTTGCCATCAAATGGCAAGCGAAGGCAGGGTTGCCACATTTGGCGAGAAATCGCCCACTTGGCGACATACCATGGACGGATGGAGAACCTTCTAGAACGAATTCTTACCGGTTTATCCCAGAATGTTCTCGAACACAAGCCAAAAGCTATCTATATAAACCCTGCTGGTCCGCAGTCAGTGTGTGCCTCGTCTAGAGTGCGAGATAGTGTTTCTCATCTAGTTACTCCGTGCGGAGATGATCGAGTTGACAGCCGGCCAGCGAGTGCCGAGTGGGTCGTCGAGTGCATCGAAGAGTCGCTTTAGAGTTTCGCGGTTAGTGCATCGTCGGGAGAGTGTGTTAAGCTCCGGGAACGACTGAACCGAAGAGTCGGGAGCTGTGCTCTGTGTGTCGTCGAGTGCATCACGAGTTGTAGCGTGGGGAGTCTCGAGAGTACGTGGAGCTCTGAGAATGACCAAGCAGAGACGGGAGCTGTACTCGGGTGCTTTGCAGCGAAGCTGTCTCCACCGTAATAGCCTGATAACCTGAAGGCTGTGCCGCTGATAGTCCCAGCGAGTGTAAAGTAAATCTTCGACGACTGTCAAAAGTGACTTTGGAGCTGTCCTGATTAATATTGTGTGTTTCGATACTCCATCAAGTGCTGTCGTCGTTATTCATTTAAAATCCATACGAAATCCGTACGATCGTGAACGAAGAAAATAACGTAACAACTGAAGAAAAAAACGCAACAATACCTTAAGAAGTGAGCTCACACAGAAGGGTATTTTACAACACGTCGAGCTGTAAAATGCCACAGAATTTCATTCTTTATAATGAATTCTGTTAAATAATCAAAGATTAGTAATAGACTACTTACTTCATCACTGGGAGACAAGCCATCGCTGGAAACAGATCTCCTTTCTTCAGGTTCAGAAGGTGGCGTCATCAACGTCCTTGTTGGTTGTGGTACATCTAGAGTCATTACTGGAACTCGTGACGTCAAAAGAGACCGGGATAAATCCAGAGGAGTATCTAAATAATTAATACGTAAAATATATTTTACTTACTTTCCAATCTTCGTAATTATTTCCCAAAACAAGGTTTTATAATTATCAACTATAACACAAAAAAAATGTTGAACGATCAGCCTGATTTGGATAGCTTAGTTTAGAAATAACGAGTGAAACAAAGTATTTGTAACTAATTTATGTTATTATTTATTTAAGAAATGTAATTTGCCTTAATATTCAAGGGAGTTACTATTTTTTCACTAAAGAGGATACTTACGATATTAAAAATGTTATTATAAATAGGATGATGTTTTTTTAACCTTACAATGCCTTCTGGAAATGAGTTTCATATCATATTCACATTCTAAAATTAAATATATATATAGGCATATATAATATAACTTGCATGTAAATGTAATTCGCCACAGATATTTTAATTTTAGGCTCAAAAGTAATGTATTATTTCATTTTACCTTAAGGTATAGTAATTAAACAATTTAATTACTGTTTTTGTGGAGCACCTTTAAGACATCAAGCAAATATATCGAAGGCATCTAATATAAACGCCCTGTTTTACAGGAAAAACGTCTTTCAAAATGAAAGGTCAGTTTATAAATAAAATCCGTGTTCTGAAAAATGCGATGAAATCAGAAGAAAGAACATAAGTGTAATAAATTATTATAATTAAGAGCTAATGAAACTATTGTAGCGGTTTAAATACTACAAAAATTGTAAGGAAAATAACTAAGCAATTTCTCTTGCAAAAAGTTTTTCTAAATAATAATTGAAATTAAATACGCAAATATTTTGTGTTATATATCAATTTCATTTCTTCTCCTCTTTATCGATTTCCAAAAATAAAAACATGAAATGTTATTTTGACTCAAAAACATTTAATAGAAAGGGGAAAATACATCTTAAACGATTCAGAACGAAACCGTACAAAAAATGTCAAATATAACGTGTGTGATAATTAAAATTAACTAAGAATGAGATAGAAGAATTATCATCAGTAGGACATCAATGAGACTTCAACAGGACGTCAATAGAACATTATACATGGATAAGGCTGTAAAGAACTTTATAGATGAGCTAAAAATATAATTATTTCATGAGATTCAGCAGAAGTATTCAATATAAATATTTTACAGTTAAAATTATATAATATTTAGTTTGAGTTTTAAAATCTTCCTAGTTAAATAAAATTTTAAGGTGAAGCAACAGTGCCCAGGAAGTAAAATCTTGCCTTTTTTGCACGTTGTGCATGTCTTCTGATTAAAAAAAATGGTTTATTGTTAGTATACAAAACATAATAACTTAAGTTTAAAAATTATTTTAATACTTGTCTTGCATGTTTTTATTTACCGCATCTTTTTCTGAAAATAGTGCGATGAAACTTAAAAAATCTTTGTCACTTCCTAGTAATAACAACCGTTCCAAGTCAAGCGCTCATCAACATATTTGCATAAACGCATCTCTTATTTCCAATAACAACACTAATGGACACAAACGACCTTGTTTTTATTTTTTTTTTTAATTTAGAAAGCAAAAACAAATCTTGTTTCTTCAGTGCTTGCCGAAGGCTGTTGCTATTACTTCCAAGCGTTCTTTGATATTAATTTAGTTATGTCTGGATGTCGTGCTCTGAGGCAAAATATTGCCCGGCGGAAATGATTTCGGCTTGATAATAAGCTGGATGTACACCAAGAGCCAATGGAGAGTTAATAGTATACGCAAGAAAGGGGGAAGACACGATATTTGTTGTCTCGGATATCCAAATCGAGATCAATAGAGGCAATTATATTGATGCATTTGGCTTGGAAATTAATTGCTGGGAGAACTTAGCAAGGTCATCTGTTATCAAAGTCTCTCGAGGTGTTCTAACAAACAAAACTGCGTAATAGCTACGAGGATAAATAAGATAATTTCCGACTAGCTCTCATTAACGCGTCGTCGCAGGAAATTATGATGTCAAATTTGTTTATAACTATAATCCTGCGAAGAGAGTTTATCATGCACATTAACATCTTACGGATGAAACTCTGTTCTCTTTTCTAAAAAATACAAGATTTCCTAATTTCTTCAAAATGATGACATATTTTTAAATGATGTAAACGACGGTATAAAACGTATTTTTGGTGATTAAAGTTACACAAGTATTTTTTTTTAACCTTAGCTTTATCTTAGTTCGTGAATTTTAATTAAGACGGTAACATTTTAAAATCTAAATTTTTCAATTTTAAGGTCTTTAGAGAAATATTCAATGTATCAGTTCAAGCATTTGATAAAGGAAGTCAGTAAATATGTTTCTATGCTTCCTTTATTAACTGCTGAAAATATGATATAAACTACTTGGGATTAAAATAGCTCCTTTTCTAAGTTTTAACTGCCTTGAATATGCGTTTCCAGGAATTTAGTTTTACTATCTTGTATCTTTCCCTTTACGCATACCCTGTTTTGCATATTTTACTCCTGTATCACCTTAATCGGGATATTTTTCAAAAACATATTTAGTGAAGCTAATTTAAATAACACACAACATTATGAAAATATCAAAAATATTTTCCACGATGGTAGTTGTAAAGCACGCAAAATCAAATCTATTGCCTCATTTCGTTTTCTTTATATTGCTTAGGCTTTATATTAAGGGTAGAAAAATACTTAATTAGTTGTTTAAGTATTACTATAAAAGTTAGTGGGCAATTTCTCTGAAGATTTCTGGCATTTGTTGTAGAGAGTAATGCGTTTTTCTCCTAGTGCAGGAAGCATGAAAAATCAAAGTTGCCTAGTCCGTAATTGAATCACGGAACTGTTAGCTGTTAAATGGATTTACTTACTACTAAACCACAAAAGCACATTAAAAGCATGCCTTCACTGTTTCACATTCCTACCATCTAACATAAACAATGATCCAACCAACTAAATCCATGTGGTAACAATTTGTCGCCTACGACACTTATTTCAGCTCCATTATGGAGACTTTCAGAATGTTCTGAATCGAGAAAATTGAAAAATTAACTGTTGATTCAACTCAGGATCTTCCTTTTGTCTTCAGAATGCGCTACGTGGTGCACTATAACAGCACGTGGATAAAATGTCTTAATAACTAATAGCTTACTTTGAAAACTCTTTTTTGGATTAAGGTGATCTGTTTGAAGAAATTATTTAAGAACTTAACGATAGTATCCCTCCCCCCAGACATATATTGATGTCCAGATTAGCCCTTACAGCCTGTATGTCCTTACAGCTTGTGGCCCTTACAGCCTGTATGTCCTTACAGCTTGTGGCCCTTACAGCTTGTATGCCCTTACAGCCTGTATGCCCTTATAGCTTGTGGCCCTTACAGCTTAAAAGGCTGAAGGGCTTACAGCTTGTATGATTCAATAAATCTACTACCAGACTTTGCTGAGGTAGTTTCTTTAAATATATATTCGCAGGATTTCAGAAACCAAACGATGACTGCAGATTGGAAGGTTTGATGAAAACGTATTAACGGATATAGTTACTTTCTATATACTGAATCTCAGGGAAACGCACAAGCTAGAAGTTTCAGATGACTGCAGTCTGATTATTTGTATAATCATATTAAAACTGAAAGCATTATAGGGATACAGATATAGTGGAATTAAATACGTAACATGAAGCTTAAGTTCAAGGCCTTAATGTCCAATGAATAAATCTTCTTTATTTAACTTCCTCAGAAGGGCATTATTTTTTGGTAAAACGAATGCAGGCTGAGGATATTAATAGGAAAGCAGATATATGAGAAACTTTGATATAAATTTAAATGAGATATATTTATAGAAAAGGAAACGAGAGGAATTAAGGAATTATACACGAGAGGGAGACAATATCTTCATTAATTTTAAATTTTAACGAATGCTAATGTGCCTTTCTTTGTAGATATGTGCTATTAATGAAATTTGATTTAATTTAGTATCAAAATGCTGAAAGTTAGTTTCAAAATTTCTTGCACGTGAGCCAGTAAATTAATTATTGCCTTTCATAAATGTGATTTTAGTGTAGATGCTTAGGCGGTATATTAATTCATACTAAAGATGTTTCAAAATGTAATATGTAGAATTGCTGCTGACTCACACCATTATTATGAAGTTTACTCAAGACGACCTGCATGTCCCACAGATGGGCGAGATCTCTCTCCTAGAATTAGGCTAATTAGTAGGTTGAGGAAAAGAGGTACAATTATAAAATTAGGTGAAAATTCCCTCGACTTTTGTTACCATCAGACAACAATTACAATCTCTCGGGCATCTGCTACAGAAATTGAAGAATCGGATACTGGGTATATCAGACGAAACACCCTGCACAAAAGCGATTATGACATCGCTTAAGAAGATTAAAAAAGGCCTACTCCCTTGACCTTAAATAACCGAAATGTGTCTAGACAAATATTGGTGTCTAGACAGAATATCTTACCGAATATATTCCTTTGTTCTACTGATTCTCGGAAGAGGAAAATCTCCTTACTAAAAATGAAATAATTTCATTTGAATGACAAAAGTAAACGATAGAGCTACTCACTAATAATTTTTAACTAATTGAGATAAAATGCAACACTTTTCTTGGGAGGTGTTCGAGACCCACATACAAGTGGGTTCTTAAATAACAGCAGGTCTCTAATTGATATTGATTTGCATAATGAATGGGTAAGCAAGTGGGGGCGGCTTTCAGCAAATGCTGAATGAATACAAGTGCATGAAAGTACTGAAATTTTTGCTTATATTGTTGTTTGCTCATCAGAGATGTGTAGCGATTAGTGTGGAGATATTTTGATGGATTAACTAGTTAAGTGGGTGTGTTCCTGTCGTTACTTAAGCTCGTTAAAGTATTGAAATCTTAACTTAGAACCTTTGGAAATATGATGCTTTGAATTAAGCAGAGTACTTTAACTAGAGATTATTTCATTTTATTAAAGACTTATAAGATGCGCATTAAATAAGACAAACCTCAATAAGAGGATTACAGTGTGCAGCTTACAAAAACTAATGTTATAATACACAT